GTGCGGACCCCCCCCCCCCCCCCCTTGCAGTAAAATTTAGGTGTGAATGTGTAATGAATTGGATGAAGTTCTGACCTAGTAAAATCAGTAGTGCTTAAAGCTTGATAAAGTTGGCCTATCACTTGTATGTTTGCATAAAACTGTGTGGTAGAATTTTTAATACGTTGTGCAAAAGCTATTTTCCAGTAGGTGTCACACTTGTCTTTCTGAAAGAATCAGATACAGAAATGGCACCTCTTTCAAAAAACAATCTCTACATTCCCTTCTGTATTCTATCCTACCCTGTTTGTTTTTCCTTATCCAAATCTCTTGGAATGCTTAAAGGCATCACAGTGGGTATTTGGTTTGTTCTAATTTAATATTGAAAATAGGTATGTAAAGTATAATGTCAATATTTACCTGCATCAGCACGGTGTTTTGTTGAGGGATGTTAACTAACAAAAAAGAGGGGCAAGTGAGAAGATGACTAGAGATTTGCTTTCACTTTTGATCAGGTTCACTGACCAAACTCAGCTTTCTAACTCTTTTATAAGTTTGATGCCTTCTGAAGCATTTGCAGGAGTAATGTAGAAAAAAATCTGTGGACTATTTTAGTGCAAGAGAAAATCTTGAAGACATTTGTTCGTAAAAAACCAACCAAACTGACTTTAGGCAATTGAGAGAAATTTGTGGTAAAGATTTGGATAATGCATGATGGTTTTAAGTACTTAATAAGTTTGTGTTCAGAAAGATACCATGATTTTGATTTGAATAAAACCAAAATGCCACAGGATTTACCAAAAAAAACCCCCAAACAACTCCCCCCCCCCCCAAAAAAACAACCCAAAAAATCAACCACCAAACAAATGTTTTTTGTGTAACTGGTGATCCAGTATCTGCCTGGATTGGAGGTTAGTTTGCACAGTATAGCCTAATCTGGTTTATGAGTGATAGTTTCAGGAATTCTCTTCCCAACTGTTGTGCTTTTAAATTTTAGCCACATAAGCATGTGTTACGTTTTTACTGGTGAGAGCATCCTTGGCACTAGATGTAAGCTTTTGCAGAACTCAATGGTAGTGTTATACTGGCTCGTGCCTTTTGGAAATATCCTGGAGAGCCAGGGAAGGTTAAAGGCTTTTACTATTGGAAGCGATGCAGGCAGGCTGCTTCTCACAAAGGAATTACAGTTCTTCAAGATTTTATAGTTCAGAATGTGTTGGTTATAAAATTGTTTCATGGTATTTAAGCACTTAGATTATTTTCCAGTTAGCATGACCAAATATAATTGGTATTCCAGATCATGAAGCCAAACACTTCTATCCCTCCTAGCCAGATATTCAAACTGTGATGCTAAAAGTTCAGTAAGGCTAGCATTTTTTCTCAATGACAAAGAAGCTTCCTGTGCTGCAAAATGCTGTCAGGGTGTGAGAGGAAACACATTGTACGTCTAATCTTTTAGAAGGATATGGAGCCAGGTCCGTTTCACACGCAGTACGTTATGTTTGATACTGAACAGATGTAAAATAATAATAAAAAGATCACTTTTAAAATATGAGACTTTGCAAATTAATATCGATGATGTAAATGTAATAAAGGAGCTTTTATAAGTTAATTTCTTGTTACATAGTTTTTCAATTAATCTTTTGTATACTTACAGCTTAGAATTCATGCAGTTAAGATCTGTTGGGTTTCTGTGGATACAGCAACTTGATGAATTTCAATCTGTTTATATATGTGTATTTTAAAGGACAGACGCTCTGTAAACTAAGTGTGTCCCTATAAAGTTCCATATAGTTCTTACTTGCTAGATACTGATAGTTTTCTGCATTGTTTTAAATATATGGAAGATGTAAAGTTCATACGTATGCTTCTCTCTTCTTAAAAGGTCTACTAAGGATTCCTCCAGTTTCACAGTTGTTCTGAACAATCTTCGTGTATTTTTAATATTTGACTGGTTGTTACTTGTTCATGACTTTTTATATACTCCTGGAGATACCAAAAAGCGGGAAAATCACCTTTCTTGCCGGCAGCGAACTTACAGCAGTGAAACAACTGTAGTTCCAAAAACAGTGAAAAGTGGAGTAGTTACAAAACGTTCATCGCTGCGTGTGTCTACAGAAAAACAACTGGAAGTTAAGGTTAATGTGACAGGTAAACATATTCTTCTCTAGTGCTTTTTTAGGAGTTTTTCTGATTAAAAGCCATGTGCTAGTGGAAAAACAGGTCCGTTAAAGGACAGAAAATCAAGAAACCTGCTACAAATGCTTAAAATACCTTAATGGTATTTCCAATTACCCTATTTATTATTATTATTTTGTTTTGTTAAGGAACTGAATTTGTGGTTGTTGAAGACATGTCTTGTTTCGATACCAATGCAATTATTTTGAAGGGGACTACCGTTCTCACTTACAAGCCCAAGCTGTTAGATCGTCCTTTCTCTGGTAGTTTGTTTGGCATTGAGGTAAGAAGAAATAAATTTGCTTTTGTAAAATATCTAAAATTAGAGGAGCTTGTGAAGATGCTTTACTATAAATATATATACAACAGGAGTAGTCCACAGATGATTTTTGAAGTTTGTTAGTTCCTCATCAAATGCTCTCATTCTACAGCAGTTTTAAGAATGTTTTTATATTGTTTCTGTTAAGACATTGAAACACTTGACTATAATCTCAAAATATTGCTAGTTACTAATCTAGTGTCCAGCCATAAACTGGCAAATTAATTGAAAGCTGAAGAGTGACTGGGTAGACAGAAGCTGACGTAGTCAGCAAAGGCCTGCAAGCTGTAATCATAACTGACTTCTGAGGTGAACAAGCAGTATCATGCCATTGGAATATGTAAGTAGGGATCTTATGCAAGTAGGAATTTTGAGTATGCAAAGTGATCCTTGCATCCTGTTTAGCAGAGCTGGAGTGCTGTGGCCAGTTTTGGGGAAACAGAGCTGAAGAAGCTCCGAACAATTGATAAGAGAGCAACAACACTCAGAATTGAGGGTTACATAATATATTGAGAGAGTTTAAAAGAACGTGCTCAGAAGAAGAGGCTGTGCAGAGGTGTGGTAAATCCTAAATGGTTATTCTAGACCAAAGAACAAAGCGTTTCCTGTATCTGTGATAGGAGGAGTAGGTGAGTTAAGCTTAGCAGTAAAGGGAGTATTTAATTGCATATCAGAATCTCTTTTCCTGAACTTACAGCATACCTGGACACTGGAATAAATTGTCAGGCCTGTTCTCTTGGTTTCTAATTCTTTAAAACCATTTGTAATTTTTAGGTTTTTTCATGCCGGTTAGGAAATGAGCAAGAGACCGCACTGTCTATTATTGATCCAGTACAAATTCAGATGGAACTTGTTGGGAATGCTTCCTACCCAAGTGGTTCTGGACTGTTGGATGCTTTCAATAGTGAGGATTTTCCTCCTATTCTAGAGGTAATATTAAATGCATGAATAAAACTGTATGTAATAGAGAATACTAGATCGTGATCTAGCACAGATTTTTTTATGCCCAAGGATTCAATAGAATACTTTCAAATACATAAGAAAAGAATAAGATGAATTTTTTCCTGAAGTGGAAGAGGCAAAGAAACAAGCATGCAGAAAATGCTCTTAGTGGTAACGGAGGAGTGATTTCTGGGATATATTGTAGAGATTAATAGTGGGGAAAAAAGCGGGCTGATAAGGTAGACATGTTAGAGGGTTACTGATACCTGCAAGAAAAAGGTTTATTTTATGTATCTCCTTGTTAGTGTATAGTAGAGGGGAAATCTATGTAGAGACTTCTTTTCACCATTATACTGAAGGAAAACTACCCCCGCCCCCCCTCCCCCCCGCACTCCCCTGCGC